CGTGAAATTAACAATACCCCGAGCATCTTAGAAAATGTCTTTAATTCTTTGAGGAACAGGTGTGAAAAGTGCTTGGAACAAGGAGGGGGACACTTTCAGCAGCTGCTTTAATTTATTGTTATAACAAGGAGGGGGACACTTTCCGCAGCTCCTTTAATTGTTTGTTATTGTTATCACGATTATTCTTTAAAATAAAGTTATATAGTCATTAACGTTATTGAAACTGACAGCTGCTATACAGCTCGTTGAGAAATGAGGTTAGGTAGGTCGCTATAAGCTACTCCCTACGTCCAATGTGTCAGAGCCAACTTCGACCACGTTTTTATTTGAACGCTCGTTATAACCGAAAGATGGGAAAAAATCAAAATCAGTTAACGTGTTTCGGCGTTTTAAAAAAAAATAACTCATTCAAAAGATATGAATTTTATTCCGTACTTCTGGCCATCCCGCCTGTATATCCATACGTTGTTCGTATATCCATGGTGCGACGACGTAGAGGCCGCTTTTCCTGCATATTTTAATATGCAAATTGTAGTTGTTTATAATTGCTTCATCAAAACGACGGCCGTAAATTGTACGCTGTGCCTCTTATACCAGTTATATTAACATGTAAAGTGTCAGTGTACAAATAATGAGTGATACTGTCCTAATTTGAAATTGTAAAGGTTACTTCCTAAACAGTTTGGTGATTAACTGCTATTTTTAAAGAACGAGGCATGAAAGAGGTCTGTTTTTTCTCATTGTTCTGAATTATTTTCCCCAACCCCCGTACATTTATCGAAATCCGCTATCCGCACGCAAGCGCACGTCGCCCCAGTTTCTTCGTCCGTCTAGTTATCTGTGAATTCCTTCCCCAACCATCAGCAGCCGCTTCGATTGTTCATGTTTACGTACCGCGTTATCTGCGCTATGTTCATTGCGACAATCGAAAAACGCCATTCGCCGGCGTGAGTTGTTTGCCGGACGATTATCATTTGGATAACCGCAGGCATGGGCGATGTACAGAAACGCGTTCCCCACGTCAGGGTGGTCGTGGACGAAAACGACGTCGAGAGGGGCGCTATGAGGATACTGGAACAGATCCGGCCCAGGTGGGAAAAGGACAGCGTCGAGTTTAAGGTAGGTCCGTCTCTTTTTAACGCGTCTCGTGTCGTACAGGGGGTTTCGTGGGCGGATAACGGAAAAGCGCGTTTTAGAATATGGAATATACCTATACTCCTATACAAAATCGTGATTGTCAAAGGCCGTGTTATTGGTTTAATTCATGATACGTCTTAAACAAATCGATAAAAGTTGGTGTACACAAACGATGTAATTATTTGGTAGGATATATTTTTTCTTACGTAAGACATATACCGGCGTATTTGACTTAAAAATCTTAAAATTCCATCTTGGTAAATTTTCCGTCCCGTGCTGTGATGTCAGCGATGTCGGTCCCAATTTCATTTCATTTATATATTTGTTATATACCTAGTGTAAAAGTGCTCTTTTTTCTATTAATCTCTATTAAAAACGTTGTTCGATATATCTTCCCTTCAAGTTTGTACTAATTTTTCACGGAAAACAACATACTACTTAAAATGTTTTTATTTGATACTGACATATTTTATCTATTTTTGTGCAAATTTAGAAAATTCATTAAAAATATGAATACCTGATAAAAACTAGATGTGACACTGAATTTTTGGAAAGCTGGTAAAGATTTGAAAAGCAGTACAGCATCATTATCGAGACAAATAATTTTATGTGTAGCAGTGATGAATATAAACATTGAAAGTATTTTGTTTTCTACGGCGTCGCTGATAAAATCAGTAACAGACTTGATCAAACCAGAGTTTTTCTCTATACATTTAGTTATTTTGAACTGGAAGGGATATGGAAAAACTTTTTTTTAATAAATGTTACTGAAAAAAACGAGCACTTTCACATGATGTAAAACAATATGTTTGTGTAAAATTGGGAAAGACAATTTCGATAAATTTACGAAGATGGAATTTTAAATCATATTCGGTTATGGCGGCCAACCATCTGTTTTTTGGTCACCCTGTACAACATTAAACATTTTCGGAGCTAAAATTGTTTGAACCATTAAGGTAGGCAACCTTTTTTCCACAACGTCTGTGTACCAAATTAATTTTGAGACAAGCAGCTAAATTTAAAAATAAGCAAAACGACTTTCATCACTTATCTTTACGTGAATTACTTAAATAAATATTTCAAGTTTAAGTGAATTTCTTAACTTTAACAAGCAGTTTGATAAAAAAAAAGGAAAGCTAATGAAATCTATGTTCCGTATCTTAAATCATAAAATTAATCTCGTTTCATAAATGTGATTTAAATAAATACTTTCAATATAAAATATTTATATTTAAAATTTTTAATGCATTCAGTAGAAATTTCTTTTGTTTTCTTTAAATTTCTTTTATCAGTATTACAAAAAATAATTTTTTTCCAAAGCAGTTATAAAATTAAAATGTAAAAATTATCAAAGTAAAGGTGGTAATAATCCAGATAATTTATCATAACGACATGCGGCATAATATCGTTAAATTAAATAACTTATAGGAGCCAGATCTGGTCATCCAGCTGAGTTTTTTTTCCCAGCCGATAAATTAGCACGTTTGTATAAAAACTCTTCAAGTTTACTGAACAAAACACTCAAGCTTGTTTGTTTATTTTAATTTTTTTTTATCTTGACATTCAAAATAAATCTTGAATTGTAAGCACTTGTGGGACAATATTACAGTTTCTTGTTCGTCTCTAATCTGACATCGTTTATTAGTATCGCGTATAATGTCAACAACTGTTTATCTTTTTAACAGTTTAAATAATACAAACTAGAGTTGTAACGTTATACGCATTGAAAATTGGTATTGATGCTTTATTTCGGTATATACAGACGCTTCACCTTCATAAATGATTACAAGCCACGTGACCAGTAATTTTCTATGGGATAGTAATTTTATTTCCTTCACGTTGGCCATTAAATTTCGGTAAAATTAATTTTTTTTAAAATAGTAATTCTACTTAACCTGGAGTTTTTATTGTGTATATTTATAACTTGTTTTCTAATGCTAGGAAATGTATTTTGAGAACGATCAATTATAGTCTTCTACGATAAGTTTGTAATGACGTCACATTTAGTAACTAAGTGCAGCCAATAGAATAACCCTAAATTTCTGTTCTGTATCGCATTAACTAGGAAATTTTATCGTTTTAAATTTACCACACTTTATTGTGACAGCGCACTGAATCAAAATCATTAAAATTAATCGATCGGCAGTTGTCAAACATTTGACGTGTTCGTGAGATTTGTGTATTGGAAAGTTCCTTTTAGAACTAATAAATTAACAGAAAAGCTGGGGTTCTTAATGAACTATTTTGACCAAAAACGTAAAAATGGAGGGTCACTTCTTTCACTTACCGCTGTAGCAGACGTAAGTTGTAATTGTTACATCAATTATGAACTGGTTATAACCGATAAAATTGCGAATTATATTACACAATTCTAAATGAAAATTATTTTTTTGATTGTTTCGTAAATTATTCCAGTGGACTGCAATAATGTGTGGTCCTAGGTTACAGCTAATAAGCTGAATTCGCTATCGAATTAATTTTCTTAAATATCCTGAAAAAATTTACAACCTGGCAACACTGTAACATTTCGAACTGTGACGTCATTATTTAAATTGTTTAGTAGTTTATGTGTTTGTACTGTACCCATTTTCCGTTTTTGGATAGATTTTCAAGTATTTGATAGTTTAAATTTAATAAAGAAATTTCCGACGAACGCCCCTGGCATTTTGTATAAGCGTAGTTTAGATTTTTTAAATTATATCGCTGGACAAACCTTAATTTGTCTTTTTTTTTTAATATGCATCTTTATGTACAATGTATCAGAATGCAGAAAAAATCTAATAAAGATAAGTTCTGGCACTGTTTCTAAAACATGATGTTAAATGTGACGTTAAATTTGGAAAATTAGAAAATCAAATTAACTACCAAATCCGCGCTCAAATGTTGTCGCGTAGATATCAATTCTTGTACACACTAACAGGGTTATTCAGTCATAATGTCATTAATTTTAAGGGAAAGTAAGGAAAAATTCATTATTTAAACCCCTTTCGGACGCTCCTGACCGCTGGCGGCATTGATACATTTACGGCTCCCAAGTCAACTCGATATCGGCCCGAAGGGGCGTTGCCAAATTGAAACATTTTCCTATATAGGAGCAGACTTCATAAATAAACGATTGTATCTGTTTTAGAGACTCACGTTTTTTGCACACATAATAATAATAATTTAAAATGTTAAAATATATAATAAATATGCAATTAACATATTAAAATGCTATTGTTGCCCAGCAAGGATCTCAGGGAGGTATGAGCATGCCTTCTTGCCAAAAAAAAACAGTTTCCTCGTAATTTTTTTCTAGACCATGCTTTGGGATGTCCCCAACCGCCTTGAAATAGTTTTTGTCGAAATATTAGGTTGCTCCTCAACTAAATTTAAAATAGCTTCTATCTCAATCAAATCATTTTGCCGATGCTCTGCAAGTTCTCGTCGCAAAATCAAAGACCTGGTATCGCGAAGACGTTGAAAAACTCGCACGAAGGTTTGTGGACTCGGAAAACGCCTCCGATATTCTGCTGCAGCGGCATTCGCATTTCGTAATCATTCTCCATATAAAATCACCATTTCCGCATATTCAAAATTCGCAAAATTAGCCATTACGACAAGCGAAACAAACCGAAATAAACTGCGGGTTGTTTCTGCATACTTTCTACATTATCTTCTGTCCATATGTATGACGTGATCTCCAAATTTGCAGGAAAACAATGCGGAAGATGCGACTAACGGTAGTAGATTTGAATATTTTATTATTATTTATGTGGTTCGATGTGGCAACGCTGTTCCGCTTCAATGTTCAAACGTTTTATTGTCCACCGACGTCTCCCGGTCAGAAAATTTGAGGGCGCCGAATTAGTGGGAGATTTTCTGTCTTTATTAGGCCTTCCGAGTACGTGGTTAAAATTCATGACCAGAGAGCGGACAATTTGTGTCTTTAACCTTGAACATAGATATGTCATTCATAAACCTAGATACATAATCCATGACGCAGTGGCGTGTCGGGTATGCATCGCAAATTTACGTAATAATTCACGAAAATTCCACGGTACATACATTTTTAGGCGTTATAAAATATTTAGAAAATCAGAAATTGTATACTACATATTTATTAAATAAAGTTCGGTGAAAAATAGTGTCGTTCTTTTAATTGGAAATTAGGAGTCAATGTAACGAATACCTCAGGCGACGCACATGATAGAATAGTCCAACTCACGCTCCATTCATACCAGGGCTGCAGTTTGAATTCTGACCAATAGGAATTCGATAAACGCAACTGATGTCGACGGATGGACTAGAGATGGGCGCGAGTGTCATTTCATCAGAACTAAATTAACTTAATTATTTTCTCGTTATTTAACCTGTTCACATGATTTATGGATTTTAAATAAAGGGTACAAATCTTCGCGAGGATAATACGATATATTTGCTATACATAATAATTATATTTTGNGTTATTTAACCTGTTCACATGATTTATGGATTTTAAATAAAGGGTACAAATCTTCGCGAGGATAATACGATATATTTGCTATACATAATAATTATATTTTGCATAGTTTATACACAATACATTTTTGAACGCGTACACATCTCTACCAAAATTTGACCTATTCTTCGGGTTAAAGACACACATTGTCCGCTCTCTATTAATGACATTATGACCCTGAATACCTATTTCTACAAATATAATCAGATATTAATTTGCCATTGTCAATGTAATAAATAAATTGTAACTTGAGTTACTATGCATACACCACTGGAAAAATTGTTAATTAATGTAATTAATTAATTGCTATAACTTTTCCGACCATAAAAGCAAATTTAACACACATAAAAATTTGAAGCGCACTTGTATCGCATCATATGAAAGCACCTAATTACAGTGTAACCAAAACTACATAAGAATATTTGCAATTTTTACTGGTTTATTTACAGATTATTTAGCCAGTTCACTTGGATCGCTTCTGTCAGAATTTCGTACAAGTTACACAATCAACGTTCTGATTTACATACATATTTGTTTATATTTCTTTTGAAGCCAACTGGTTCAACTTGGATATTCGATGATTATTACGTCACAAGCATAGAATTTGCTTCACGCTTGGCCTACTGAGAATCGTTTATTGCAAAATAAATGTGCTAATAATTTTATATTCATCGGATGTTAAAAAATCGTAATGAAGCATAAATCTTAAATTTATTCTAAATCTCTTGATTGTTTAGGAAAAAATATCTTTGATAAGGACAAAATTAAATTAAAGATAATAATAATTGATAAATAGAGGTATTAATTTTTATAGATTTTTATCAAAGCTCGTCAGTTTAGTACAAATATGAGGTATTTAAAGAATTAAACCATTGGTACACGTAAGTTATAAGGAAATTGGTGTCTAAAATTAACTATTTATTATCTTATAAAGCAGCACAAAGTCCATAATTTTTATTATTATTTAAAATGCGATAAGTAAAATGTTTATTTAATGCATTTAAACTGGATTTGGAAGCAGTTCAATAACTAGAATACAGGGGTTAATCAAAATTTCATTTCAAGAATCTTCAAAAAGGACGAGTTGCAGGCTATCCATTATACAGGGTGTCACATACACATGTTATATACTTCAAGGGTATAATCTAGAACCCGAATGGTGTCGATTTAACCAAACTTGCTTAAACGAAAAATGTCGCAAAAAAAAGTTACAGGAAGTAAGTCTTTTTTTATAACTTGTTTTTTCTTTAATAGTCTCGACGGTATCTGTTTCAAAGAGTCCGTCTTTGGGTGAATCATATATCCACGGAGATTTTTTGCCTTTTGGCTTTAAAATATCACTAGAAATGAAAATTCTTCTATGCGCATAAAAAAAAAACGTGGGCTTAACTTTTGGCGGCACAATATGTTTAAAAAATTGGAAAAATGTCATATTTTTCTTCCTATTTAATTATGTGTCTTTTCAAGAGTTGATTTTAGGCGAAAATGGAAGAGGAAAAAATGTTTGTAATTAAATTTTACAAAATATGACTAGTTACAAATCAAATGAATCTTGATTATTATCGTAAAAATCGAAAAAATCGCCAAAAATGGGGTTAAAAAACATTACTCTTTAGGGAATTTTTTTGGGGTCTTTAAGTTGGGTATAGGACCTTCATACTTGGCTCAAGAAAATTTCATGTTATGTAGAATCATCACACCAAATTTCATCAAAATCGGCTCGATAGATTTTGCATAATAATTTTGCAATCCAGATTTTGAAAAAAACTTTGCAAATTTTCAAAATTTTGCACAGCAAAAACCAAGGCCCTTAGATACTTGAAAATTTAATCACATATAGAAGGGCTCTCAAGCTTTCAAACGCTTTTTGAAAAATTCGAATCCGTCAATTAGGAGAGCTCTGGCGCTTGTTTAAACATTGGTCGAATTTTTGTACTATAATTTTGTATTTTTGTAATATAATGAGTTAATTTCTCATTTGCTTATATTTTAAACAGTAAATAATATTTGAATTATATTTTAATCACAAAAGAAATGATGACTAAATTATTAATTAATTAATTAATTAATTAATTAATTACTAATTTTCCTCATATTTTGAAAATAATTGTTGTTTAAACAATTTTAGAATATTTAAATAAATTTGTTTTTGATCTTTGATAAACAGTATATAAGTTTATGCACTTACCTTTGATACAATAAAAAAATAAAGTTGATAATTAAAGGAAGTTTGAAGATAAATAATTATCGGACTGTTGAAAGACCAATTATTAACAATAGGCATTTGAAAATACGCTAATAGTTTTTTTTTTAAATCGCGAGACATCGATTTAAAAAAAAATCATCAAAAGCGGACCTCTAGAAGCTGAGATATTAAAAATTTTTAAGCGCATCGCGGTTTTGAACTCGCCGATTCAATTTCTGCTTCTGCTTCCCCCACCACCTCCACCTGTACGAATTTCTTGATTTTCTCGCTTGCATAAATAACTTTAAACGCGTTTTAAAGTAGGTTGCCAATGAAGAAAAATATTTCAAACTTAGACCTGATAAGTACCCGGAATACCAAAGGTATTTTTTGAAAAATTAGCCCGGATGTCCCAGTACATTTAGTGTCAATGACGGTTAACTTTGATTGGCTATAACTACGTAACTAATTGACCAATCGATCTGTTTTTTTTTAAAGAAACGTCTTTCCAATAACTTTTAAAACCTGCTTTAAAACATTTGATTTGATTGATAATTCACACAGTTATTCTAATTGTTTATAAGTACAAAAATTCGACCAATGTTTAAACAACCGCCAGAGCTCTCCTAATCGACGGATTCGTTTCAAAAAAAAGTTTGAAAGCTTGAGAGCTCTTCTAATGTGATTAAATTTTCAAGTATCTTAGGGCCTTGGTTTTTGCTGTGCAAAATTTTGCAAATTTGCAAATTATTTTTCAAAATCTGGATTGCAAAATTATTATGCAAAATCTATAGAACCGATTTTGATGAAACTTGGTGTGATGATTCTACATTTCATGAAGTTTTCTTGAGCCAAGTATAAGTCCTATACCCAACTTAAAGACCCCAAAAAAAATCCCCTAAAAAGTAATGTTTTTTAACCCCATTATTGGCGATTTTTTCGATGTTTACCATAATAATCATGATTCATTCGATTTGTAACTAGTCATATTTTGTAAAATTTAATTACAAACATTTTTTCCTCTTCCATTTTCGCCTAAAATCAACTCTTGAAAAGATACATAATTAAATAGGAAGCAAAATATGACATTTTTCGAATTTTTTTAACACATTGTGCCGCCAAAAGTTAAGCCCACGTTTTTTTATACGCATAGAAAAATTTTCAATTCTGGTGATATTTGAAAGCCAAAAATCTCCGTGAATACACGATTCACCCAAACCAAAACAGATACCGCCTAGTCTATAACTCAGAACTCAGCTAACCGATTTGAGCAAAATTTGTTGTTGCTTAGTTTCATGTAGTATGCAGTTGTTCCTATTAGGTTAAATCATACAGGGCATTCATTTTACTACAATCCTTTGTGAATATTCTTCTGTAACTTTTTTGTACGTTTAAATTTTTACACACAACTATCAGAATAAGTATATAACATTCGTTAGGTGACACCCTGTATAACCTAAATTAGACTTAACTTATTTTTTCTTACATAACTAAAACCGCTACGAACATTGCATGGATTTTACCCACTTCTGATATGATGTAGATTTTCTTCTACGCCTAACTTATAAATCTGTTTCGAATAAAAGTTGAATGTGTATAGCTGTTGACAGATGGCATAACCAACAAACTGGTGGGATGCCGACCCGCAGAGGCTGAAGAATCCGAAACTGTGCTGGTCAGGATCTACGGCAATAAGACAGACTTGCTCATAGACCGGAAGGCCGAAACTCGGTAAGTTATTTCAATTTTTTAAGTTACTTTCAAGTTTTCTGACGTATTCACAAAAGTAACAATATGACAAAAAAATTATATTTACACACATACAATCAAATGAAACGAAGGCAGATTTGCTGAATACATACCTACTTTGGTATAAATAAAAAAATATCTCCCTACCTCTTGGATATACAAACGCAACTGTAAATGTGTAAGGATAACCTAGTTTTTACCAAAATCGACGTATCTATTCTATATCTATCGACGTTATTATATACATATTTGACAATTTTTGGAACCTTCTAATATTAGTCCAGTCACTGAAGTATTTTGCCTACCAATTTTTTAGGATGGAATGGATTGACGTGAAATTTGAACTGTAGCTAGGAAATAACCCAAGAAACAAAAGTTATATAGTGCCGAAGTGTGCTTTTACCCTAGGGGTGGATGCCACCCCTTCTGGAGGGTGGAAATTTTTTTATTAAAAATAACCTCACGATTCGGTAGAGGGACGAATTCTAAGCAAAAAATGTTCTATAAGAATTATTTGTACAGTCAATACTTTTTGAGTTATTTGCGCCTAAACTTGTTCGTTTTTAGCCCAAAAAATGCATGTTTTTGAGTCATTTTTGGCGAATATCTCAAAAACTGATCATAAGCAAAAATGAAGGTAATTAAATAGCAGATTGCTTTTTTTTATTTTTGTAGATGGTATCGAACCCGAGTTATGTCTCCCAGAAATTGAAGTCAATTTCGAAGATAGCTATAATCAAAACGTTCAATGTCCTGTAGCGGAAAAATTAAAGGTTTTTCGAGGAAAACTTATAGAACACTTATTAAAGTTCTTGAAAATACCTTTAAATTGAGTGGTGGTAAAAGTCGTCAGCATGAAAACTAAAGAAGTTACAATCAAAATAAAATGATTATCTTGATTTTTGAGAAAAAAAATCGGTATTGAAATTAATGACTTGACGGAAAAAAAATTAAACGTATGCCTTCTGCAAATTACTTTATTTATGTATTAACAGTAGATTCTGGGAATTTGAACGACTTTAGAAGCCTAGAAAAATATTTTTTTAAAAAATCGCCTTTTTCAAAATATTTCAAAAACTAACAAAGTTATAAAAAAATGATAGAATAAGAAATTGTAGGTTTTTCATTACTGAACAATTAGCTTTTTTTAATTTTTATAGGACAAAATTTGACCGAGTTATGACCGTTAGAAGCTCAAAACTAAGCTCCAAGACTGCCTTTCCTGAGCCTTTTTAGCTTACAAATCTAAAAAACGAAGGGCTCAAAAAAACTGCAAATCACAGAACTTAAGGTGCTTTAAATTCCCTACAAAATGGTTTTTTGAGTAAATTTATAACTTTAAAATTGCAAAAGTTATAGTAAAAAAATTAATCGCTTTTTTCGGTAAAATTTTCGGAGCGGGTAAATTATCATCATCTTTGTGTATTTTGGAGCACTTGTGAACTGATTTGAGTAAGTATTTTAATAATGTACCTACACAGACGTATCCGAGTTCACATGTATATGTATACATATTTGATATTAATTTAATAAAAAAATATTAAGAATAAATTCAATAAAATTAAGAAAAAATAATTATATACTCACATATAATTTTTAGGAAATTGTTCTATAAGGAGTAGGGTTTTTTATGAGGGGTAGGTCTTCCATAAGGGTTTTTTGGGTGGCTGAAAAGTTGCAATATATCATAGATCATATGAAAACCAATAAAAAGTTTATAATTCAACATATATATGCATACCATTAAAACATCTCAAGCTTTCAATAATATTTTATTTTATTATAAGGGATGGTTTTTAAGGGTTGCAACTTTGTAATGAGTCGTAAGCTTTCTAATGAATAACAAAAGAAACGCAATACATTGTGAATGCACCAAAGGAATATTTTAAACTGTTAAAAATTTTTGTTTCTATTTTTTGTCCATGGAAGGGTAGTTTTTGAGGAATTTTAAGGGTATAAAAGTAATTAAACTTCATAAATTATATTAAAAAACATGAAAGGAACTTTATCCAACATATTTGAACATGAATTGAATCTTTAAAATACGTAAATCTGCGATTTTCGCATTTTTTTTCATACAAGGGTAGTTTTTACCCCAAATTGAAACAGCACACATCTAGACAATATAACTTTTGAAGTGGAGGGTCAGGGTTGTATGTAAATTTTCAGGAAAATCCGAAAAAATTCGGAGCTTTTACCTTATTTTCACCTTCAGTAACTGGACTATATGATACGCCCATGGAATCGCACTGAGAATAAACCACTGACTAGTACTGTGACAGTTGAATATAAGTTACACCATTTTTTTGATACCCTGTATACTATTATATTCGCGTAATGTCAAACATTAATAATTCTTCTTAACTGCGCTTCTATTCCCCTAGCTAAAAAGTCCTTGAATGCATTGAATTCAATTGTCATGGACTAACGTCAAATGAGGTCTACTTCATGAATAAAATCAACATTAAACAGAATTAAGGCAGGATACACAAACAAATAAATTACTTGTTAGATTATCTCGTTACATGTTTGGAAAATTCTAGAGCATACGAGGGCAGTTAGCAATGTTCAACCTTCACAGCCAGCTAAGGTTTAAACTAAATAATTTTTATAAGGATTATTGCATCTTTCTTCTGTTTTGTCCGCTTAATCAAATGAGTTTTTTTGTCTAATTTAGAAACTTCATACTCCTCAACAAAGTGGATCTAGCTCCGGACCTATATGCCACTTTCGATAACGGTTTGGCGTACAGGTTTATACCGGGAAACACCCTGGACCAGGAGACTGTGAGGGACCCACACATCTACAGGTTAGTGGCGAAGAGGATGGCAAAACTGCATAAAGTTAAGGTAAAAGGAGAAGAGCACCCCCAGCCTTTCTTGTGGGATAAGATGAGCAGTTTCCTGGAGTTGGTACCCGATGTGTTCAGCGACAGCAAAAAAAATGAAAGGTAATTGTTGAACCAACATGTACAAGCTACGAAATTCTGTATTTGCATAAAATTGACATACTTAATATGGTAGAGATCAGAAAGATTACAAGGTTAGACAGTTGTTTACCAAGATTTATTATTTCAGTTAATTTGTGTATCATAAAAAAATTGCGGTTTTTCCAGCATCGTGCCTTGCATTGCAACTGTCGTTTACAATAACAAAAAAATATATTTGGTCATTTGTGCTGACCTTAGCCTTATTTACTGCGTTGACACATACAGGGTTATTAGGTCCAGAACTTTAGCATTTCTGTGCAGAAAACATCTTGAGTTTTTTTATTTATTATCTGTTTTATTTGGCGGATTTAAACTTTGGTAGTCGTTTAGATGAAACTTTTATTGTACCGTTTTATTATTAATTAAATAATATGTTTCATGTGTAAAAAAAGTCCAAGACTGGGGCGAAATTTTACTTAGTTAGTAATAAATAGTAAAATAATTCTAAATGAAAACATCTTTATCTTTCATACACCCGTTAACAACTAATTTCCTGACATTAATTTTTTATACAAAATTGTGAATTTTGACGATTTTTTTTTAACTTAAAGCTCCTTTCATAGCTTTCCGAATATATAATAATATATAACTATATCACGCGCATGCGTCGTATATTTCATTTTGCAACTAAGGCTAAAAAATAAAAAAACTTTCCAGGTTGCAAATTTGAAATTTAAAAAAAAGTGATATATTTCAATGTATTATTATGAAATCTACCATGAAAAAAATCAGTGCGATTGTGGAAGATGCTCGGGATCGTCCAGACTAATAATTAGTTAATTTGTTTATAAGCCCATAACTTGTAAACTATTCAACTTACCGATTCCAGATTTCGTGTGAGTTATTAGACAGTGATAAGGAATGAGAGGATGCGATGTCAATAACGCAGTTTATAAAAGTTTAATTCAAAAGTCATAAATAAACTTCTTGTTTATAACTTTTGATCTAATCAATATTTTTTGACGCTCGAGGGCTAGTTTTGTAGGTCTTTTAAAGACTAAAAAAACGTACGTTACTGTTTTCTCGTGGAAATGAACGGAAAAAAGTTATAAGCGAAAAACGTGAATTTACGTAGAAATTATACAATTAATCAGCCTGTAAACAATCTTCCCCCCATTTTTATGACTGTGGAAACTAATATGTTATTGTACTTAATATTTAATATTTATAGTGGTAAATTCAGCTTGCCGAATTAAAAAGTCTCGTCCAACTCTATATTTCCTGGCCTATAATTACATTTTTTATTTAGCACTTTAAGGCTAAGTGTCAAATAAATAAGCAAAATGACACAAATACACAAATTGTTATAGCAACCATCATTTTTACTTATCAGGTTACTTTGATTGAAATATGAAATTATATATTTTTAAAATGCTTGTAATTTCTAAACACAAACGAATCGGACCCATGTTCATATAAGAAAAAAAATGTTTGAAATAAATCCAGCTACCTACCTTCTGTCACAGTTTGTCATAGAATTGTACTCTGTATTTAATACAAATTAATTAAACTATAGTAGGATCATATTCGATGCAAAGTAATAATTCATTGCCTGTCAAGGGATCCAGTGCCATACGTTTAATACATTTTAAGGGTTTTAGAAATTGAATAATTTCTTTATACATTATGAAAGGACGAAGGGATCAGTTCACGTCTGGCACCATTGTTCCTACAAAAATTCCTTTATTCGCATAAACTATTTATTTTAGATGTAATTTATTATAAATCAAATTTGTTTTTTAATTTCCACATATGTACTACATTTTACCTCTGTAGGCGCCACTGTTGTTTACTTGTTTTTTGGAGGCGCTCTCTGTTTTACGATCAAGCTCGCCAGGTTAGTATTTGACGTATAACCGACCACTTCGTACACTCGATGCACCTGGGTGACTACAGCTACTACCAGAACACAGTGCGTATGCAGCGGTATTTCAGATTTAACATTTGAAATGGTTCATCTTACGCCTCCTAAAAATGATGACACGATTTTCCTTTGATAAAAGACCGACAACTTTTTGCTCTACTTTGCATCGAATACGATCCTACTATAGGACTAACTGCACAACATATGTGCAATACAAGCAGTTTCACTCGGTTGTCGGCACGTTGATCTCATTTGACCGTTATCTGTGTCCTTGGATGGAGAAGCTCCGTAATAAGAATGTTTTACTTAACAATTAAGAACACCCTGTATATCGTTTTTTCCTATTATTAAATATTAAAATAGGGTGTAAAATGTAACCAAGTATTGTTGTTGTGCACCAAACCATACAACTCCGGGAAAATACGAGCTGTGAAAACGAATTTCCATTCCTTAATTGATCTGCGCGTTTGTTAATTTCAGATACCGAGAATGCATAATGTCAAAGGCGCAGATAGAAGGGGAGTTGCGAGAACTGAGGAACGCTCTAAAAAATTCCGATAGCCCCGTGGTCTTCGCCCACAATGACCTGCTGTTGGGCAACGTCATCTATACGCAAAGCGAGGACTCCGTTACGTTCATAGACTTCGAATACGCTGCATTCAGTTATCAGGCCTACGACATCGGTAACCATTTCGCGGAATTCGTGGGTAAGTATACATAGATTCAAAACTCCGGGTGGGCTCTGAAAAAGTGGGTTCATTTGTTTCAATTATAAAGAAATTTCATAAAAATATATACAGGGTGCCCGGAAAGGTCATGTCAAAAATGAAGGGATATACAGGGGAAGTCAAAATAGATGTAGTACTTCATATAAATTTTTTTCCTATTGGGCTTCGTTGTGGAGTTTTTCGCCTTCAAAGAAGTTTGAAAAAGAAATTCCAATTATAACTTCTAAGTCGTTACCATGACAACAATGAAATTTGGTCAATTAAAGTAACTCATGGTAATGTTCATTTCCAAATTTAAACTGATATTCAATATGCCTGGATTATACAGGAGCAGACGAAATTATCCATTTAAATTTATACATCTTTGACAACGTTGCCAAGTTAGGCATTTTTCTTCCATGGTTAGATTCCTCACCCAAATTTGCTTTAAAAAAGGTGAACCGTATATCAGTCGATATCTTGTACCGTTTTTTTGAGAAAATCGAATTTTATTAACAAACATTTATTGCATCAAAAATGTGATACTAACATTTTCGTAAAAATCTTGGTTTCTATTATCAAGAGTGGTATGCGCAATATGCGGTCATTAACCTAGCTTTTAATGCCTTTTTTAATCCGTATCAAACGAATAAGATATTTTTTATATTTTAAATATTAACAAGTAATATTTATTTGTTAATAATTTGTTAGGGGGATGCAGTTAGACATATTACCTTACTTCCAGAAAGCAATGTGTTGCTCTAAAAAATGATATATCTGATTTAACTGCAGTAGACAGCGGGGTACCTCAAGATTCGGTTTTGGGGCCCCTACTCTTTATAATTTATATGAATGACCTTTCTCTCTATTTGTCTCCTGAGAGATGTATTCTCTACGCTGATGATACATCATTGATTTGTAGCGGTAATAATGCAGTTTCCTTACAATTTGATGTAAATGTATTAGAAAATAAAGCCAATGAGTGGTTCGCAAATAATAATCATAAATTAAATCTGGATAAAACTCAACGTATAACGTTTTTCTCGGATAATATTACAAATGGATCAACAGTAGAATTATTGAGTTTGACTATCGATAATAGGTTATGTTAGTCACCTTACGTTCAATCTATAAAGAAAAAACTGTCGTTTTATTCTTTTATTATTCGTAAATTAAAACCAAATTTTAGTCAAATTGCTCTCTTAAAAGTATATTTTTCATTGTTCCACTCTCATTTATGTTACGGTAACATCTGGTAATTCTGGAGTAACTCTTCCTCTGCTATACAGATATTTAGAATGCAAAAAAAGATTATAAGGTTTATTGCTAACGCAAAGTTTTTGGACCACTGTCAGCTTTATTTTAAAACACTGAGGGTAATGCCTTTACCTTCTACTTCTTATATTTTACCAGCTTTTGGAAATACACAAAAATATTAATACGTTTGTTTGTAACTCTAACATACATTACACAGACCAACAAACTTTAACTTTTTCTGGAGGCAGAAACTTGAATATTTCCGAAGGAATTAGGTGCGCTGAATTCGAATCTGGCAGCAGAATTGCTCTATCATGTCAGGTTTTTGAGATATCCTAACCTAAATGTGCAAAAAACACTGTTTTTCGTCATATTTGAGGTTATGTAGTAATGCCATCTATTCTTTTTCAAAAAACTAATACATTGAATCTAAAAATAAAGGCTCCCTTCTTCGAATGCCGTTGAGTTTGCGCAAATATCTTTTTTTTTTCGTTGAGATATCACACGTTGAAACTAAGTTTCTCAATTTCTTAATATGCGAAAATCTACTAAGGATCCCTTAGACATCAAGCAGTCGATTGCAATTCAGAAACTTCATACCCATACGGTTTGTGGGTTTGGAGTTGGTGGGCTTGGGGTTTGTAAGCTTGGTGTTTGTAGGTTCGGGTTTTGTGGGATTGGGGTTTGTGGGTTTAGGGATTGTGGGTTTGGGGTTTGTGGGTCTGTGGATTTGGAGTTTGTAAAGTGAGAGCACGAATGTATTGAAGGTTTCTGAGTATGAAGTTTCTGAACTGCAATCAACTGTTTGACGTCTAAGGGATCCTTAGTAGAGTTTCGCATATTAAGAAACTGATAAACTTAGAAATTTCAACATGTGATATCTCAACGAAAAAAAAAAAAAGATATTTGAGCAAACTCAACGGCATTCGAAAAAGGGAGCCTTGTACTTTTAGATATGTATTTTTTTTTTGAAAAAGAATAAATGGCATGACTACATAACCTCAAATATGACGAAGAACAGTGTTTTTACACTTTTAGGTTAGGAAATCTCAAAAACCTGACGTGATAGAGCAATTCTGCGGCCAGATTCGAATTCAGCGCACCAAAATCCTTCGGGAATGTATATTAGTGTGTCTGTTTCTTGACCCTTGTTGACCTGTGATTATCATAATACTCGACAGACTAGTTATTTGCGACCGCCTCGTTTTCGACTAAATCTATCATCCAGAAATGCCCCTCAGCTAAATCTTTACAATATTTTACCTGATGCCGTAAAAGAGTTAAACTCTTGTAAATTTAAATTAGGTCAGGAAATATCTTCTCTCGAAAATTGTTTTTATTCGGCGCAGGAGTTTTTGAGTGCTACCACCATGTTTTTAAATTTTTAATTATTTTTTGTCTTGATTATTTTAACTGTACTTTTGTCGTTATGTAAGTTTTGTTAATCTGTTATTTTTTGTTTTATACATTGTGCATTATTGATTTTTAATATTTTTTTTTTACTGTTGATATATGTTTGACTTACTACAATTGTACTTCTTTGTATAAAAAGTAGTTAATAATAAATTTATCAATTTATCTATCTATCTAATAAAAACAAATGTATAAGGATAATAATTGTTTTCGAATGTTAGGTTATACAATTTAGTATTTTTAATATTGTTAGCGTACTCACTACGTTTTATAATTGAATAAGAGTTTTTAATATGATGTGCAATTAATTATTTAATTTATAGTAGGTATACCTTATTGTGTGACTTATTGTTTTTCAAAAAGTAGGGTACCTACCTCTTTAAAATGACACTACGACTAAAAAAACACTCACTCATTCATCCATAGTTTTTGTTAGTAAAGTTAAATGCTTATTTTTTAAAAGGTCGAGTAATGTAATACATATTCATGTGCCTAGTGAAAGATCTAGAACTGCTTTTTTAGAAACATGTCTACTACGTCAGTGAAATACTTCTTCTGAGTGTGACCCCAGACGTTTTTTCGAATAAAATTTCCTTCTTTCCAGGTATAGGAACAGATCTGGATTATTCTCTGTACCCTGATAAAGAATTACAAACCGACTGGATCAGGACGTACCTTGCGGAATACCACGGAAGGGAGCCCAAGGAAGAAGAAGTAGAAAAATTGTACGTTCAAGCCAACCAATTCGTGTTGGCCGCCCATCTTTTTTGGGGCATTTGGGCGCTTATCCAAGCCGAACATTCCTACATAGATTTCGACTACATGGAGTAAGATATTTCCAGTACAATATTCAATGTCTGTGATGTTTATATTAATTTTTCGTCTTTTACAGATACGCCGATTTAAGATTGAGAGAATATTTCGCCAAAAAATCTGTCTGCGCGTTATTCAACGGATCAAGTTAATGTCTCAATAAGATGATTTAAAGAATCAAGCTTTTATTTTAACTGAAATCTAATTCTGGACAATAATTTAGTATTAATTGCTATAGGAAATACTGTTTTCAAAGGAATTACGGAGGGTCGAAATTATTACGGGAAAATATTGCAAATGTTGAATTCCATTTAGAAAAATGATTAGATATTATATTGTTTTTATTATGTGAAGTATTTAGCTTTTAAATTTGTGTATCTATACATTCCAAGTATATGTTTGCATTCATGTTAATCACATACTTTGTTGTCATATATTTTATGAAATAAATTTATTTTTAATAAAAAAATTGTATTTTATTGAATAACATAGTACCACCAGACTGTTTTAAATCTGTTAATGATTTATTACGTAATTTGTCGCTCTGAATCCAAATCTGGTCGTAAAAAATGCTCCATCACAATAGGATTTTAAGTAAAAAGCCAAAAAGCGTAGCACCATCAGATTTCACATGTCATAAAACCCCTGTGTACCAAATTTNTGTCCATGTTAGCACGGGGGTGAAAGTACACAAGCACCAACAGTTGCTGAGTACAATGTAGAAACAAGGCGATAGCCATTAAAAATACCGAAGTTCTATTAAGGGAGAAAATTTTGGGCAATGCTCTACAGAGACACAGTAAAAGCCAAAAAGTAACGCTATAGGGCAGTAACTTCAGGTCTTGCACCAGAACGTCAAGGGCCAGTACACCCAGAAAATATATGGTAAGTTCCGACCAGAAGACTAACTCTTCAATTTTAGTTTTTTTCTGAAAAAGAGAACTGTATGTTTCTCGAAACGTCAAAGATCAAGTCGATAACATGGCAACCTTCCCCCCTCTAGAAATTCGAAAAATGTACAAAAATTTTCTTAAGCTAAGAAAAGATTAGATTGGAAATTTTTAATAAAATATTTTATTTACTTAAACTTTAATTTTGAAAACTAATACTCGATTTTTAAAAAAAACAATTGTAATAAATTAGTTTAAATATTTGTTGACAAAAGCATTTAAAAATATAAAATTTTATGTTAAAAACTAATACTCGATTTTTAAAAAAAACAATTGTAATAAATTAGTATAAATATTTGTTGACAAAAGCATTTAAAAATATAAAATTTTACGTTAAAAAGTAATACATTTCCATATTTTAAAAATTTAGTTCTGGTATTTTAAATTAAAAAAGAATAAAAACTTGGCTGAAAAATACTATGGTGCAAAATCATCTCAATGGTATACACAGCAAGCTTATTTTTGATAACCATGAAGATTTTATTAATAAAGTTGTCGACACATTTTCAAAAAATCCGAGAAGATTATGTTTTAGGTACCTAATTTGCGTTGAATTTCTTTATTTTTTTAGTTATTTGTATATTTTTCATGTTTTTGTATTAAAAAGGTTTTATTAAACATATTTCTAAAAAATATTAATTCACTGTACTTATTTCACCTATACTTTATATTTCTTACATCCTCTCTCTTATGTTGCCCCCCTCTAGCCCATTGGGTGGCGACGCCCTTGGGACGGGGTTTAAGAAAAACACCCCCAGTGCTAATACTATCTTTATCCTTGCCATTTTTATAGATTAGAAAGCTAATTTTCGCAAATCTCCAATATACATACAGGGTGATAAAAAAGAGTGTAAAATATTTAAGGAGGTAATAGTATGAACCAAAATAAGCAGAAAAGTCGCAATAAACATGGTTCCGCAAAGTAACGGTTGCGGAGATATGGAATGTTTTATGTTTTTTAACCCCTTTTTTTATTTTGCAAAAACGTTGTGTATTTTCTTATAATAGTTGGTTGATGTTTAGTGAAATAAACAGTACGTATTTGACAGTTGTTCTCAGTGCACAAGTTTTCTTTCGCTATGGCTGGTTACTCTAACGCAGAATTAACAGACATGCATTTCATGTATGGNACATTTTTAAAAAACCGAGAAGATTATGTTTTACTTAATTTTCGTTGAATTTATTTATTTTTTTAGTTATTTGTATATTTTTTGTATTAAAAATATTTCTAAAAAATGTTAATTATGTACCTATTTCGCCTATAATTTATATTTCTTCTATCCTCTCTCTTATGTTGCCCCCCTCTAGCCCATTGGCTGGCGACGCTTCTTAGAACGGGGTTTAAGAAAAACACCCCGAGTGCTATTACTATCTTCATCCTTGCCATTCTTATGGATTACAAAGCTAATTTTCGCAAACCTCCAATTACATATAGAAGATCATGGAACAGATGGAATTTCAATTAAATTGATACCAACGACGGTTTAATCAATTACAACCACAAAACCAACCAAAAACAGTTAAACCTATGATTATGAATTACCTCACTTATTAATTATTCAATTAATTATCTAATTAGCTCCTTACTACCTCAAATTTATAGGTCTAAAAAATTAAAAAATATCGTATCCGAAAATATGAATATTTCGGCATGTCCGTATAAAAACAAACGACTTATAAAGGGAAGAATGTTCGTCTGTTAAAATCTACCTTGTAGCACACCTAGCAAAAAAATGTCACTCCATTTTCTTTTGCAAATAATTTATATCTAGGCACAAATTTTCAATTTCGAAGACTCAAACGGTGCAGAAACAAAGCCGCTCTGGGCGACTAGGCCATAAATTTCAATTGTTGACAAATTGCCTAGCAGTGCAGTGCACAATGCGGAATTTAATGTGATTCGGGTATTTTAATTTATTATAGGCACCTTCTATTAATCATTCATATTACAACTGCGAAAGGGAGAAATAAGAGGGATATTTTGTTTACTATTATTACATGGCATTTTGGAGACCTTTTAAAACGGAACAAAACGAAATACCGCCAGACAATATTGAATTAATTGAATTAATTTATAATTTATAAAATGAAAAAATATGTTGTTGGCCAAATAAACATATATTAGTTTTTACCTTTAGCAGAAAATTTTTTAGGGGCGCCTATGAAACTCATTAAATTTTATTACTAGGCGTTTTTATACATGTTCGGAAAGACGAAATGATTGCTAAGTCGCAGAGTTTGTGGCGCACTCATTTGGGTGCATCTCCTATTTTGAATAAAATATCTTTTAATCAATTCATTTTTTATTCACTTTTCGCTTCGTCTAGGTATAATGATTAATTGGTAATTTTTTGGTTGTTTCAATTTACAAATAAATTTTCATGTATTGTTTGGCACCTTATTTTATTTAAAAGTAAATGAAGTGACTACAAACCGCCTAAAAAAATTTAGGAGTATTTAGGTNATGTTTGAAAAACGAATAGTGGTCCATATCTCCGCAACCGTTACTTTGCGGACCCATGTTTATTCAGACTTTTCTGCTTATTTGGGTTCATACTATTACCTCCTGAAATATCTACACTCTTTTTTTAACACCCTGCATAAAAGAACATCATGGAACAAATGGAATTTCGATCAAATCAATACCGACGACGGTTTAATGAATTAAAACCACAAAACCAACCAAAAACATGATTACGAATTACCTCCCTTATTAATTAATCAATTAATTACCTAATTACCTACTTACAACCTCAAATTTATAGCTCTTATAATTAAAAAAATATCGTATTCGAAAATATTAATATTTCGATATGTCCGTATAAAAAAACCGCCTTATAAAGGAAAAAATGTTCGCCTGTTAAAATGTACCTTGAAGCACACCTAGTAAAAAAAGGTCACCAGCAGCCACTGCACTAGCCACGACACTCTATTTTCTTTTGCAAATAATTTATATCTAGGCACAAATTTTCAATTTCGAAGACTCAAACAGCGCAGAGACAAAGCCACTCTGGGCGACTAGGCCATAAATTTAAGTTGTTGACAAATTGCCTAGCAATGCAGTCAGGCCCGGATCCAGAGACTGGTTTTGGGGGTGGCGCAAAGCACTTCTTTATCATTATTATTGTTATTATTATTATTATTATTATTATTATTATTATTATTATTATTATTATTGTTGCTGTTGTTGTTGTTGTTATTTTTTTGATGACGTAAGGTGTAGGTTAGGAAGGGGGACTTGCATTAATATCGACTAACTGCCTGTTGTCGTTTGGAGAAATTGAAGATCTTTAAAAAATGTTTTGCTTTGGGGGTGGCGATCGCCACATCGCCACCCCCTCTGGATCCGGGCCTGAATGCAGTGCAGCAATTAATTAATAATTTTAATTCATGATAGGCACCTTCTATTAATCATTGATATTACAATTGCGAACGGGAGAAATAAGAGGGATATTTTGTTTACTAATATTATTACATGGCACTTTGGAGACCTTTTGAAACGGAACAAAACGAAATACCGCCAGACAATATTGAATTAATTGAATCAATTTATAATTAACAAAAAGAAAAAATTTGTTGTTGGCCAAATTAACATATAATAGAAATTTCTACCTTTAGCAGAAAACTTTATTAGGAACGCATATGAAACTCATTAAATTTTATTGCTAGGCGTTTTTATACATGTTCAACTGACTTCGGAAAGACGAAATGATTACTAAGTCGCAGAGTTTGTGGCGCACTCTTTTGGGTGCATCTCCTTTACTATTACAGATAGGACCATCAAACTTACAGCACTGTAATCGTAGAAAATTATTCTGCCTAAACAAGGCGTTTCATTTGACACAATTTCCTGTTATATTTAAAGAAAGTGACAATTGATTTTATCAAATCGACTACAACTTTTTGCCTGTAAAAATAACACCCTGCTTATTTGGATCCTGAAGTAGTCGTGAACATAAATCCAAGTTAAGCTTTCATAAGGGACTTATTTCCCTATTTTACGTACATTTCGGTTGTTATTTAAAAGTAAAAATCGAATTACTGGCCCATCTTAAAAAAAATAAGCGAAACCCTCACGAAACCACAATTTCGCAAATCGTAAATAATCGAAAGCGAGGTGCGTGTCTACTTGCCACTGGTGTTGGCTCATTTGCAGACAGATACATATGAGAATGAAATATAGCTTCAATTATTAGGGGAACATTTAAATTTTCAGAGTGAATAGATGCCTAATTTAAGACGTCTACAATTTTGTTTTCGATATTCTTTATTGACTAAGTATTAAACAAAGTTAATAGAGACGGAATAAAATGCGGCGCAGATCTTAATAGGCAAAAATTTTTGTATGAACGTGGGTCCTAGTGGAATGTTTCTTCCAGGTACAGGGTGTTGAATTTCGTAGTAACATCATTCACATTTTTTCTGAGAATCTTTGATATAATCTGAAGAAACTAAAAATGAAGTACTAAAAATAAATCAAGAACTCATTTAATATGTGTAAAAGTACTATTAACGAATG